CCAAATAATAGTGAACAGAGTCAGTATGGAGGGTAGTTTCTAGACATGTGCCCTACAGATCTACCCCTGTTCTATTCACCATTTTTATAAATTAATCTGCAAAACTGGCATGAGATCATAAAGCTGGAAAAGATCTCTCAATATACTCTAATGTCATATTGAATCAAATAAAAACGAAATTTGACAGAGAGAGGCAAGGTCTTATACTTAAGTTCAAAAAATCAACTTTGAAGAGGTAGAGTGGAACAGAAACAGCTAAATAACTTGTCATTAGAAAAAGATCTGGGGCTTTGAGTGGACCACAAACCCAGTATGGGATAATACTGTGACACAGAATCCAAAAAGACTAATGCCATCGTAGACTGCATTTATAGAAGCTTAACATCCAGAATGAGGAAAGCGACCTCTTCAGATCCTATTTACGGAATTATATTGAGTTCCTAGCACCACATTTTAGGAAAGACATAACAAGCATTAATACAATCAGAAGAAGGTAAGCAATGTGAATAAATGAATTTATGAATGAAAGCATTCAAGTGCTTATTATGTGACAAGCATTGTGCTAAATGCTGAGGATACAAATACAAAAGTGAGACAGTCCCTGTCCTCAGGGAGCTTACATTCTAACGAGGGAAGACAGTATTCATAGTTTGAGCTGTGGCCAGGGAGGGGTGTTTCGGTTTAGAAAGTTACAGGGATGGTGGTAGGGCCATGAGGAAATTGATTGACATGCTCTTTCCAGTAGCAATGGCAGTATTGATTCAATTCTGGTTCCAGAGCTGAGGAAGAAGAAGTGTTCCAGAGCTGAAAGGGTTAAGTCCTCCAGGACATTGTCTTTGTCCCTGAAGATTCTACAGCAGGGAAGATCCTGAAGATTCTACAGCAGGGAAGATGGTAAGAACATATTATTTAGTCATTTTTTTAGTCATGTCCAACTGTTCGTGACCCATTTTGGGGTTTTCTTGGCAAAGATACTGAAGTGGTTTGCCATTTCCTTCTCCAGCTCATTCTACAGATGAAGAGCTGAGGAAAATAGGGTTAAGTGACTTACACAGGGTCACACAGCTACTAAATGTCTGAGGTTGAATTTGAACTCAGGAGGACAAATCATCTTGACTCCAGGCCCAGCACTCTATCCACTGCACCATCTAGATGCTCAAGGATATAACTGAGATGTAAAGTGAAACATGGCTGGGGCCAGTTAGATAGAGAGATATAATAAAGGGACTAAGCCACACAAGAACCAGTTAAAGGAATTGGGCATGTTTTCCCTGGACAAAAGAAGAATTCAGATGACCTTCATATCCCCCAACACACTAGACCACGTGGGGGAGGAAGCATAATCCTTGTATCATATTGCCACTTGCAGGCACTCCCTTTGTAATCATCCTTCAGCACCCTCTCCTCCTTTGAAGTTTGCTCAAATCAGATGTCATCCCATTCAGATTCCATTGTTAATTATCTACCTCCCATTGGGCCATTCTCCCTCATTTCCTAAGTTCAGAACCTGGCTTACAGCCTTCTCTGTCTGAATCACTGCCTTTAGACTAGGGATCATGGCACGTATGGAATTGTCCTTCAAAAAATCCTAGTCTCCCAGTTCATCAGCCTTCTTGATCTTGGAAATGGAATACTTGTGATTGATGGTAAAATTGTTCTCTGCGTGATTGAGATGAAGTAAAGGGTTAGGTCATGGAAGTTGAGAAGGCTGATGAACTGGGAGACTAGGATTTTTTGAAGGACAATTCCATACGTGCCATGATCCCTAGTCTCCCAGTTCATCAGCCTTCTCAACTTCCATGACCTAACCCTTTACTTCATCTCAATCACGCAGAGAACAATTTTACCATCAATCACAAGTATTCCATTTCCAAGATCAAGAAGGCTGAAATTCTTTGATCCAGCCATAACCATTCACCATTCCATCTCTTGCTGTAACTCTCTCTCTCTGCATCTGCTCTTCATTCCTTCCTTACTTCCAGTCACTATCTCACTCAATGTTCTCCCCAGCCATTAATCCCATTCTGCCTTCGTTTTCCTCCCTTCCTAATCTTGACCCTGTAGGCAACCAGTTCAACTTTACTATTTTTACTATCTTTCTACTTTAAAATCTCTTGCTACCTAGTCATCACTCATGGCTTGTCAAATCTCAAACCTGCATTATCCTCATCATTCTCCATGCCTATTCATATGCTACTGAATAAAGCTGCAAGTCATACCACCTTGCTGACTGGTTCAACTACAGATTCATGTTTTCTAATTTCAACTGGACATGCATTGCAAGATAATTCTTTTTTCTTTTCCCTAACTATCTCATTCCCCATACTAGCTGTTCCAAACCTTCTTTCCTCAAGCCTCCAAAATCACTCCTTTCCCCCTACTCAGTAGATACTTTCACCCTATACTTCACTGAGAAAATAGAGGTTATCTGCCTTGAGTCCCCTATTCTCTCCTATTCCAGCTCTCAGAACCTGTTGATATCATTCACCATTCTCTCCTTCTTGCTCCAAACTCTGAGGAAAAGGAAGCTTTTCTCCTCAACAGGGACAACCCCTCTCCATGTACACTTGATCCTGAATCTCTCTCTCTCCCTCTCTGCAGGCAAAGACTGTGGGGGAATATTATTTCTTTTGTCAAAATGAAGCATTGGGAACTATTGGTAGAAGTAATAGGAAGACATTTTCATTCAAGATAAAACAATCCTCATAACAAAAAGAGCTAGCCCAAACTGAATGGACAGCCTTGAGAACTGTTGAGTTTTTATTCATGCTTAAAACTGGAAGATTTGAATTCTGTGTCAGCACAACTGTGATTTTGCAAAACCAGAAATACCCCCAGATCCTTTAAGATAGTTCTTTTTCTCAAAGAAATTGAAGGAATTAGAAAAAGTAATGAAGAAACAAAGCCATCACTCATACAATGGTGTACTTAGAAAATCCTAGACAATCAACTAAAAAACTACTTGAAATAACTAACAATTTTAGCAGAGTTGCAGGATATAAAATAAATCCACATAAATCACTGGCATTTCTTTATATTATTAACAAAGCTCAGCAACAAGAGATAGAAAGAGAAATTCCATTTAAAGAGACTGTAGACAATATAAAGTATTTGGGAGTCTACCTGCCAAGACAAACCCAGGAACTATATAAACATAGTTACAAAACACACAAATAAAGTAAGATCTAAATAACTGGAAAAATCTGAGTTGCTCATGGGTGGGCCAAACTAATGTAATAATAAAGACAATTCTATCTAAATCGATTGACTTACGCAGTGCCATACCAATCAAATTACCAAAAAATTATTTTACAAAGCTAGAAAAAATAATAACAAAATTTATCTGGAAGAACAAAAGGTCCAGAATATCAAGGGAATTAATGAAGAAAAACACAAGGGAAGGTGGCCTAGCCATACCAGATTTAAAACTGTATTATGAAGCATCAACCATCAAAACTACTTGGTACTAGCTAAGAAATAGAGCAGTGGATCAGTGGAAAAGGTTAGGTATATAAGACACAGTAGTCAACGACTATAGTAATCTACTATTTGATAAACCCAAATACTCCAGCTTCTGGGATAAGAGTTCACTATTTGACAAAAACTGCTGGGAAAACTAGAAAACAGTATGGCAGAAACTAGGCAAAGACCAACATCTTACACCACATACTAAGATAAGGTCAAAACGGGTACATGACTTAGACATAAAGGATGAGACTACAAGCAAATTAGGAGGGCAAGGCACAGTTTACCTGTCACCTCTATGGAGAAGGGAAGAATTTATGACCAAACAAGAGATAGAGAACATTATGAAATGCAAAATGGATCATTTTGATCACATTAAATTAAAAAGGTTTTGCACAAACATAGTGCAACCCAGATTAAAATGGAAGCAGAAAACTGGAAAACAATTTTTACAGCCAGTGTCTCCGATAAAAGCCTCATTTCAAAATATATAGAGAACTAAGTCAAATTTATAAGAATACAAGTCATTGTCCAATTGATAAATGGTCAAAGGATATGAATAGGCAGTTTTCAGATGAAGAAATTAAAGATATCTATAGTCATATGAAAAAATGTTCTAAATCACTATTGATTAGAGAAATGCAAATTAAAACAACTCTGAGGTACCATCTCACACATGTCAGATTGCCTAACATGACAAAACAGGAAAATGATAAATGTTGGAGAAGATATAGGAAAACTGAAATAGAAATAGAAATAGAAATTTCTACATATATAGAAATAGAAGTTTTCACTAATGCATTGTTGGTGGAGTTGCAAATGGATCCAACCATTCTGAAGAACAATTTGAAACTATGCCCAAAGGGCTATAAAACTGTGCATACCCTTTGATCCAGCAATACCACTACTAGGTCTGTATCCCAAAGAGATCATAAAAATGAGAAAAGGACCTATATGTACAAAGATATTTGTAGCAGGTTTTTTGTGGTGGCCAAGAATTGTAAATTGAGGGGATGCCCATCAATTGGGGAATGCCTGAACAAGCTGTGGTATGTGAATGTAATGGAATACTATTGTTCCATAAGAACTGATGAGCAGGTGGGTTTCAGAAAATCCTGGAAAGACTTACATGAACTGATGCCGAGTGAAGTGAGCAGAACCAGGAGAACATCATACACAGATGTGTAGCAACTCTGTGTGATGACCAACTTTGATAGACTTAGCTTTTCTCAGCAATGCAAGGATCTAAGGCATCTCCAAAAGTCTCATGATGGAAAATGCTATCCACATCCATGCCATCTTGGGGAGGAAGGAGGGAAGAGAGGGGGAAACAGAACTCACAATCTTACAAAAGTGATTGTTGAAAACTAGAAATATATAAATAAATAAAACTTTTTTAAAAAGAAACTTCTTTTTCTCTTGGTGTTGGTTTTCCTTTAGTTATCTCTCCTTGAAGAGGTGGAAAGGTTGGGCTAAAGACTCTTCCTGGAGGGAAGGTTGACTTAATTATATCCTTTTCATAATACTGTATTCCTCCCACTTCACTAGGCACACTCAGACTCTCCAGAGGAGTCAGTCCATCACTTGTGCAGAAGCCAAGAGGAAGGTAAGAGCCCCCAGAGGCACACCTGGCAGCTGGAAGGAAGACATCTGGCAGAAGGTAGGGACCAATCACTCAACACTTAGTGGATCTCACTGGGAGGGTGTGTGTGGCAGCACACTGAACTGGAGGTACCAGGGCCACAAGAGTCCATGAATTGTGTTCTCAGACACAGAGAACTCAGTCACCTACGTGCTCCTCTGACTTTGCTGTTGGCTGTCTGTTCCTTCAAGATTCTTATCTTACTCATGGTCTTGCCAAACTTTTGAGTGTACCTAGAAAATACTATTTTCCCTCCTCTCTTCTGGAAGCACTAGGATAACAGTGAGGGTCCTGGATTCATAGAATGTTAATGGTGGAAAGGACCTTAGGCATAGTCTAGTCCAAATCTCTGATTTTAGATGAATCAACAGGGTCAGAGACACCATAAAATCAGAGGATTTAGAGCAAGAAGGGACATCAGAGATTAAGGTTATCTAGCTCAGCCCCCCCCCCCATTTTATGGAAAAGGAAACTAAGATCCAGAGGGGTAAACTTTCTGAGGGTAGCAAAGTTAGTGGCAGAATCTGGAGCAGAACCCATCTTTCCTGACTCACAGGCCAGTGTGCCTTTTGTTATAACCCTCTAGGAAAAAAAAATATTAGTTAAGGTGAACTATTGAGAAGAAAGAAGCATGTTAGGTGCTTGAAATGTTCCCCAGGATAGTCAAGACTCTCTAGATTTGTTGGAATCCAATACTTCCTCTTTCTTATATCCAACCAAACTCTTCCAAGTCTTCATGACTTCACAGGAAAACACCAGGATAGCTCTAACATTAAATCCTTATTACTCTGTCTCCTGAGACCCCCAGAATTCCCCTTCCAGCAGCAGAAGTTTTTGCCCATCCCAGGAGCAATCAATGTAGGAAAAGATGGCTACAGGAATCTATTTCATATAATTTCAGGTGCCATTTTGCTGTTTCTGAATAGTAAGGTTCTATCACTGCAGTTCTAGTTAGGCCACACACAGACAAGGCAAAATATATTTGGCCCATATTTGGAACCTGCTGTTTGAGCTTGGGAGGTTACTGAAGATGACCCCAAGGGAGTAGATGCAAGAATCCAAACAAATGTAACTAAGGCAGGATTCTCTCTTGACTTAATTGTCCCCAGACTTTTCTCATTAGATGACAGACCTTCACTTCCCTCTTAAATTTATTTCATTGGTTGCTATTATTTTTATTTTTAATTATGAGACACAACCTCTCTGTACCAAAACAATGTACTATTTTACAGAAATACCACAAGAGTTTTGAAGTCCTTCAGGACAAGGGAGAGCCACATCTAGCAATCAGCACCAAAAAATGCACAGTAGGACCCTGATCTTTATATCTCATTTAGATATTGAGTAACTTAATTATAGCTCAATAAGATGTTAGTTTCTTCTCAGAACCAAAGCCCCAGATCAGACACCTACCCAGCTTCTTATTCCTAGAGCAGGATGTACTATGCAAGATAAATCTGACCAAAAGCAGATCTCCTGTACTCACTGGGGTCTCCTTGTACCTCTGTGATGCTTAAGAAATGGACTTTTGATACTCCAAACTTGAGATCCAGATTCATCTTCATCCAACCCTGGTTAAATTTGTAAAGGAAACAACATTAGTTTTGGCATCTCCAGCCTTCTCTTTCTCTGGTATTTCATTCCCCTTTAAACACCTCATGAATCCTTCTTCACTAGTTACCGAGTTCTTCTATGGTCTTTCCCAAGGAAAACAGTCACTAAATTAATTCATACTAAGGTGTGGGGGTCTTTAATTTAGAGACTTAAATCATTTGCCTTCCCTCAAATATTTTCATTTTAATATAGTATGTAAGGGAAAGAGCAATTATCCACTGAGAATCATACTATGGCCACCTCAAGCTCTTCTCACTTATTCAAATTCTTTTCTTTCATTGGTCTCAATACTTAGGTATCATCTTTGTCTATTTTCTCTTTCTAGACACTCATACTCCCTAATTTCTTCATTTCTTCTTCCAAAATATTTCATATCTGTCCCTTTCTTTCCATTCCAATGTTCCATTTTCACTTCCTTCACATGAATTACTGAAAGTGACTAATTGTTTTGCTGATTTCGTTCTCTCCTCCTTCCAATTCATCTGCCAACTGCTGCCAAAATAATCTTCCTTAAAAATTGCTTCTATAAGGTTTCTTCCCCCATCAAGGACCAGCAGTATCTCCCTATTACCTTTCAGCTTAAGTCCAAACTCCTCACCTTGCCATTCAAAGCCCTCCAAAATCTTAATCCACCTTACTTTATCATTCACAGCTCTCAACCAGTCAAGTTTGTCTCCTTTCTGCTGTCCTCTTACCCCTCAAGCTTATTGAGTCTCATTCTATGCCTTTGCTCATGCTAGTCTGCCTGTCTAAAATACTCAACCTTCTCCATCTATTTCCATTCTCCCCATCCTTCAAGCCCAAGGGTCCTCCTCTTCCACACAAAGTCTTCACCAACTATATTAGCCCATGATGATTCCTCCCCCACTCTGAGTCCCTTTAGTCTGTTCTATATGATTCTGTCCCTGATTGATTATATTTATATATTGCCTCTCATAATTCTCTGAGCTGTTTTTTATCTATGTATCTTATCTCATCAGTCAATTTTCAAACTTCTCCATGGCATGAGACCATCAGGTGGGTAGGGCTGAAGAGTTACAATAACTGGGTTATAATTCTGGGCTTCATTCTGCTCATCTGTGAAATATGTGTCAAATGTCTCCCCAAACAACCACACGGATCTTCTCTGTGGATAAAAAGACAATAGGTCTCAGAGTCCTTCAGGTGTTCCTGATTCTTAAATTCAGTATATATCTACTCTACCACCTAAATACCTAGAGGATGTCTTGTTCAGTTCAATGTGTACTGAAAACTGTGGGTATGGGAATGAGGAAGCGCCTCCTTCCAAAAGATCTAAATAGCTTTGACTGTCTTGGGGAACATTTCAAGTGTATAATGTACAGTCTTAGATCAGCTGAAGAAATTAAGAACGTTTAGCCCAGATACGAGAAGACTTAGAGTGAACACAGGAGTGACTTTTAAATATTTGGAAAGTTATAAGTAGAAGCAGAATTAGGCTTGTTCTGTTTAACCCCAAAGGATAAAACTAAGAAGAAGGAAGTTTGCAGAGAGACAGATTTAGATTTGATGTCAAGAAAAGCTTTCCAAAACAATTAGAGGTATGCAAAATAGATGGAAGGAAATTGTTTCTCCACTCACAAGAGGTCTTTAAACATCAGTTGGGTGATCATTTGTCAGGAATACTACTTAAAGGACATTCATGTTCAGGCATAGGTTAGACTAGATGACATCTGGTGTCTCCTCCAATTCAAATTCTGAGATTCTCTTAAATAAATACAGAAATTGAAATATGTGCTTACATGTTTATGTACAAGTTGACACTCTAACCAGGGCCAGCTCTAGATGTAAGAAGCTATGAAGCTTAAGAAATACCTACACAGTCTGATTTTGGCTTACCATACAAGGCCCTGCTGAGGCAGCTATGTGGCACAGTGGATAGAGCACTGGGCCTGAAGTTAAGAAGACACATCTTCCTGAGTTCAAATCCAGCCTCAGACACTTACTGGTTGTGTGACTCTGGGTAAGTCACTTAACCCTGTTTGCCTCAGTTTCCTCATTTGTAAAATGAGATGAAGAAGGAAATGGCAAATCACTCCAGCATCTTTGCAGAGAAAACCACAAATGGGGTCACAAAGAGTCAGACACCACTGAAACAACTGAACAACAACATGCAGAAGAAAACAAACACAGCAGCAAAGCGTTCAATGCACCCAACAACACAAGGTCCTGCCTACTAACAAAATAGCTCCCATCCTCCCCTCCTTTCCAACCTGAAATCTGTGCCAGGAAAGTTACTCCCTTGGGTTACCCAACAAAAGAGGGTACTTATTAGCCTGGAATTAGATAAACAAAGCCACTTTAATACGATAATGAGAGAAGGCTAAAAGGATTTTCTCTTCTGGGAATTAACCAGGAGTCACTGGTGGTACATTTCCTTCGGAAAGGGGACTGAGCGTATGCCAGTATTCTACCCTGAACCCAGTATAGAAGCATAGAACACAAGAAGATTTTCTACTTCACAAAAACCTAAAGAAGTAGGATTCTCTAGAAGACTGGAAAGAGTATAAATTAAAGAATACGGCATAGTAACGAGTAGAAGACACGCATGCTCCTCATCCAGTCCTCTGCTTTCCTCAATAACAGTCTCAAAAGTCCATTAGAGCAGCTGGGGAGAGATCTGAACAGGAAAGGCTTGGGGACTTCACAGTTGGCCATTTTTTTTTTCATCTCCAAAATGAAGTAAACATAGAAGCATAATAGATCACATACAACATCATAAGGGGTCCAACTATAGGCAGGCTAACTACTATATCCATGTCTACAGATCAGCAACCACCATGCCCCCTTGCTGCTTCATCTTCCGCTTTTAAGTAGTAAAGCTAATACTCAATAAGCCAACAATATGTTGTTTCCATTGCTAGTGATCTGACCAGGCTTGACCCAGCCTTGTTCAAAAGTCGTGCTAGTGCAGAGTCAGATACCATGGGCTAGTAAGGATAAAAGCAGACATGGGATAGCATCTCCCTGAGGTAACGATTCTAGCCTCTACTGCTAGCTTTTCTGACCCTCTCTATGTTCCTTCTGTTGTTTTCCTTTATATCATCCACCCAGCTGTTTCTGTAGACTTAATCTTTCCAAATTCCAAATGCTTCCAAATGCTTTCTTCATGCCTCGTTGATAATGAGCCTATTAGTAACATTCATCCTTGTGACTTAATAACTATAGTAAAAATGACTCCACCCAGTTACTGGATAATGAGACCATACTGGTATTGCACATGCCTGGTTATTCCTGTGATGGAATCCACTTGGTATTAGGGGAGGGGAAGGGAGGAAGGAAGAGAAGTGAGGAGGTGTCCCCAAAGCCCAATTATAGGGCAGAAGCTCTGTACATTATAGCTGGGGGTACTGAGGCAAGAGAGGCCCTAGGCAGAACCAAGAGCTAAAGTTGCCCTGGAATCTCTTGCAGGAGGGGCCCCACTTAAGACCAGTCAGGGCATGACCACAGCACTCAGGAGTGTGGGTGTGGAACTTCAGCATCACCACCCCCAAACTAAACAATGGACCTTCTGAGATGAACAAACTAAAGGCAAAGCTAAATACTATGAGGAAATACTAAGCACTGAGAAATGCCCATGAGGTAAATCAAAGGAAGAGAAAGAACCTACGAAATTCCAAGTAAAGCTTTGAAGAAAAAAAAATATATCTTAGCCAAAAAGAATATAAGAGTACAGATGGTGGAAACCTTCACATAAGAACTGAATGTCCTGAAAAGTAGAATGGGCCAAAGAGAAAACAATGATTCAATGAGACAATAAGAGATATTAAAACAAATTTTTTTTAAAAAAATTTAAATGGAAGAATATGTAAGAAATATAATATCAAAAACAACTAACCTGGAAGAAAGGTCAAAGAGAGAGAATCTAAGAATTATCAGACTATTTGATAATCACAACAAAAAAAAAAAGCTTGATACTATATTTAAAGTCATTTTAAAATGAAAACCATCTCAAGCTCCTAGAACGTTAGGGTAAAGTAAAAATAGAAAGAATGTAATGGTCACCTACTGAAAGAAACTCCAAAATGAAACATTTCTACTAATGCCATAGCCAAAACCCAGATCTTCCAAGTCAATGAAAAATTATAAGAATTCAAAAATAAAGTATATCAAGTACTGAGGGGCCACAATAAGGTCCATACAAGATACAGCAACCACCAATAAAAAGAAAAGTGCTTGGAATGTGATCATCCAAAAAGCTAACAATCAAGAATAACCTATCTAGCAAAACTAATTAAAATCCTAAAGAGAGAAAATGGACCTTCAATAAAATAGATTTCCAAGTATTCCTGACAGAAAGGTCAGAATTGAGTAGACATTTTGAAATGGAAACACAAGAACCAAGAGAAACATATAAAGGTACAAACATTAATTTAATTGGAAGGGTATACATTTGGATGATTTGTCTTTGTGCTAATAGATAAGAAACAAACATCTACTCAGAACCTTAATATTTTTAAGGGTCTTAGAAAAAGGTAAATATAACAGAGTGCTTATGGGTGGTTTCATTATGCTTTGATGACATCAGAAGTCAAAACTGAGAAGGATATGGGCCTATAATTTCAAAGAAAGGTGGAGGATAGTGTGGGAGATCATTATCACATACTAGAGATAAATAAGATGAAGAAAATATTTAATCATGGAGGAAAGTGGTAGAGCAGGTAACCTATAAATCTCATTCTCATCTGAATCAGAAAAAAGAAGATTGAACACAATTACAAACACCCATATACATACATACGTATGCATACACAAACATACATATAACTAACTTGGTATATAAATACATTAAACTCATCAGGAAAATAGGATGGGACAGGGACAAGGAGGGATTACAAAAGGGTTTAAGATAGAGGACAAGACAGGTAAAGTAATAAGCAAAACAAATCAACTCTTGAAGAAACATAAAGGTGGAATTAAAAGGGATTATAAAGAGGGAGAAAAAAGCATAAGATAAGAGAACAGAGGGGAATTAATAATCAATTGTAACAGTGAATAAATAAACTAACCCATAAAGTGGAAAAGAACAGCAAAATGGATTAGAAAACAAAATCCAGCCATCTGTTGTTAATAGGAAATATACTTGAAATGTAAGATTAACATAGAGTTCAAATGAGAAGTTGAAGCAAAAAATCTACATATTTAAAGGAAATCAATCAAATTGGAGGGAGAAATAGTAAAATTATAATAATGAAGAACTTCAGTGTGCCCCCTTTCAAACATAAATAAATCTAATTAAAAAAAAATGTTAAGAACCTGAATAGAACTTTAGAAAAATAAGAGATGATAGATTTCTGGTGATTACTGAATGGGAACTGAAAGGAATTTACATGGCGTTGTATATGGCACCTTTTCAAAAACTGATCGTGTATTAGGGCATAAAGACCTCACCAAAACATGTAAAAAATAGAAATGCTGAACATATAGATCAAAGTTGATAAAATTATATTCAATAAAGGGCCTTTGAAGAACAAATTTTAAAGTAATTGGAGTCTAAATAACATAATTCTAAGGAACTAGAGGTGGGAGTCAAAATAGAAATTATAGAAACAATAGACAATTTCATCTCAAAAAATGACAATAATGAATCAATACAACAAAACTCATGGGAAGTAGCTAAAGCAGCTCTTAGAGGGAAATTCATATCATTCTCATCAACAAAAAAGAAAAAACTTAATATCAACAAAGAACCTAGAAAGAGAAATTTAATTTAAAATAACTACAAAAAGCACAAAAATATTTAAGAGTCTATCTACCAGCTAGATGGTACCATGGATCAACTAGTGGACCTGAAATCAAGAAGTCTTGAATTCAAATCTGGCCTTAGACACTTACTAGCTGCATAACCCTAGGCAAATCACTTGACCTCAGTTTTCTCACCTTTAAAATGGGGATAATTTTAACACCTACTTCCCAGAGTTGTTGTGATGATCAGATGAGATAATAATTGTTAAAGCACTTAGTACAATGTCCAGTTCATAGTAAGTGCCACATAAATGTTAGCTATTATTATCGTTGTTATTACCAAGATATATACAGGAACTAAATATATGAATGCAACTTTGCAGAAATAAAGATAGACCTACATAACTGGAGAAATATTATCATGAGCAGTTTGAACAATTATAATAAACATGACAATGCTACTTTAATTAATTTTCTTATTCAGTGCCATACCAATCATACTATCAAAATACTATTTTATAGAATTAGGGAAAAAAATCATTTTGGAGAATAAAAGAATTTCAGGGCTAATAATGAAAAAAAAAAAAAGCAAGATGGGAAGGAAGAGTATCTCTTAGGACCAGATTTTTAATTATATTACAAAGCAGTAATAATTAAAATTATTTGATAACAGTTTAAAAAGAAATTAATCCATAGAACAGATTAGAAACACAATATGCTGAATCAAGGGCAGCTAGGTGGTGAAGGGGATAAAGTGCCAGGCCTGGAGTCAGGAAGACTCATCTTCCTGAGTTCAAATCTGGTCTCAGACACTTACTAGCTATGTGACCCTAGGCAAGTCACTTTACCCAGTTTGCCTCAGTTTCCTCATCTGTAAAATGAGCAGGAGAAGGAAATGGCAAACCCCTACAGTATCCTTGCCAAGAAAACCCCTAATGGGGTCACAGAGAGTGAAACAACTCAATGACAACAAAAACATCCAGCCCCAGCACAACATTCAACTTGGGCTGTCCTTACTGCAAACACTCTATGACTTCCTCAGTCCAAAAAAAAAAAATACAAATTTAAAATTTAAAAAAAAGGAAAAAATTATATAGTCTCTGCCCTCAAGGAACTTACTATCTATCTGAGGGGAAAGGGGAAATAAGACATCTACAGAAATAAATATGATTCAAGGTAGAATGTGATGGTGGGAAAGGAGGAAGTCTCAACAGAGTATTCTAATAAATATAAGGAAGGAGAAAATTAGGAGACAGTACAAGGTGTCAAAGGAACCTTATTTGTCCTTTAACATTTGGTCTCTGCTTCCAATAGGTGTTAAGATGGCAACTTCAGCTGATCACCCAGTCGCAGCTTGTGCTGCAGAAATGAACTTTGATCTCAATCTTAATTCTATCGACATTGTGGACCTAGACCTTAGAGACAACACCCTCTACTTAATAGGTAAGTATCCCTACATATCTATATAAATCTAAATGACAGAACAGACCCACAGCTATAAGTAAATAACTTAGACGCATAAGAATGCTTGTTGTAAGGATCTTTAATATCTGAGATCTTGAGCTCATCAATTTGGGACATGAGAGGTTATCAAACCCAACTTCCTCATTTTATAGATTAGGAAACTGAAGCTCAGAAAGATTAAGTAATTTACCCAGTCACACAGCTAGCAAATGCCTGAGGTAGAATCTGAACCCAGATCTTCTTAACTTCAACACTCCCTCCACTTTATCATGTCATCTTTCTTGTACTGCTCATCTCGAAGGCTTGCTGTGAAAAAAAGTGATTTATAAACCCTCAGAGCTACATGAAGTGAATCATCACTGTCCTCCTCCTCATTATCATCATCATTGTTATCATAAAGGCAGTATGATATGTAGTAGATAGAGATATGACTTTGGAGCCAGGAAGATCTGAGTTCAAGTCCTGACTCTGACACATAAATTGTATTGGTGTTCTAGGAAATAATTTGTAGAAAGTCTCCTGACCTTCACTGGTGAATACAATTTCCTTACCTGGGAGCTCCCAATACCAATTAAATTATAGGTCCAGTGTCTATCCTATCATCATCTTGTGCAGAGTATTCTTATTCTGCCAACGACTCCCATTGTAACATTAAAAATATATTCTACCTAAAAAAATCTGGGCTTAGAAGTTAAGTATGATATTTATTGTTAAGAGCTATCGATCTGGTCCACATTATCATACAACACTCAAATTCCAAAAAGTTTGAGAGGTGCTATTTCTTGGGAAATTGGTGACATACTATAAAATCGTTGGTCCAGAATTCTTTTAAGTGACTTTCTGTTAAACGAAGGCTCCCTGTTTGTAAAACACTTTGGCAAGTAAAAAGGTATCATTTTGATTACCCCAGAGAATCCATTTCCATATAATTTTCTATGTATAGGTTTTCATCCCTATCCCTCCCTCCACCATGGAAGTATCTCCATTTAAGGAATAAAATCAGTGAAATATCTAAAGACAGTTCCTCTGACCTGTGGAAAACTTGAAAGCTAGAATTTCCAAACCTAAATTAAAATTTCACAATTCAGTTTCCTAAGATGTTGGACCTAAATGGGATCCTTTTAGTTCTCTGGAAGAGGTTTCCTAAATGAGACAGTATCCAGCTAAAGAAGCAATGGAAAATGGTGGGGAAAGAGGGAAGGGGGGAGGGTGAAAGAAAGAGCTAAGACATGAAAATGTGCTTGTTTTGTTGCAAGAATTTAATGGAATGTTTTCTCTTTCTTTTCTCCTTAACTGAAGAAACAGGTAAAGAGTGAATTAATTTTTTTCTACTATTCTGTCTAAACTGGGGGAGTTGCTTGGCGTGCTGCCAAGCCACATGCCTTTGCCAACATATTTAGAACTGAAAGATATTGTCTCTACTTGGAGCAGATCTGGTTCGGGAAGCTGGATTCATTCCCCAAAAGGGTGTGGTCCACGTGCATTCAGTGTCACTCCCATTGGAACCACTGATGCAAAAGATAAGATGTGGTCAACAAACACTAAGTGCTTAGTATGTGCTAGACGCTGTGCTAAGTAAGCACCAGGGATACATACAAATTAAGAAAAAAACAGTGTCTATCCTCAAGAAGCCCACTACCTAATGGGAGAAAAATATGCAAATAATTATGCACAAACAAGATTACACACACACATATACATACATACATATGTACATCTGATCAACTGGAGATATTTACAGAGGGAAGACCTTAACATTGAGGGAGACTAGGAAATGTTTCTGGCAGAAAGCAGTCTTTCAGCAGATACTTGAAAGAAGCCAGGGTAGTCAGGAAGCAGAGATAAGGAGGGAGAGAGGAGAATGCGGCAAAGTGCTCACCATTGCTCTGGAAACACTTTGGCTCTCAGAACCTACCTTACGTGAGGTGAAGGCATACTTTTATGTTGACTTAATCGAAGCAGAAAGTCATGGTTCTCAAGAGCACGCGGGAAAGTGGGATGGAGGATTTGGAGACTGGTCTTTGGAGCTCCCACAGGGGAATAGGGAGAAATGCCTAAAGACAGGAAAGTAGACTGTCCCCGAATGGAGAAGGGAGGAGGCAGTGAGGAGGGAGGGAGGTTTCCTTCAAGGAAAGTGATTTAGAGAAGAGGAACCTTATTTCTGCTTGATTCCTTAGCCAGTAAATCTCTATAAGAGAGGCAAATACATAGCAGATAGCCCCTTTGGGAGGAGGTAACGATGGCTTCTTTGCTCAGCCCTGGTTCCTCCATTACTACCTTGGTTCTATTAAATGTCAATAGTTTCTCAGTTTTCTTAAGTATTTTTTCCATAATGTAACTCATGATCGAAGTCCCAAAAGTATTTGCTTACAGAGATAGCCCCCCAAATCACTATTCCTTTAGTTTGTTTTGCCTTTACTCAGAGGTTCCTCTAGAAACCTCAAAATAAAATTGTGTCTAGTTTTTAAAGATCTAGGTTAAAAGGTCTCCAGTCCCCATATGAGCATTAAAAATAATAACACCTATCAGGCATAGGACAGCCTTTATTTCACACCAGAAAAAATGCAAAAAATATATAAAGGATTCATGGTAGCCCACAGACAATGGCTCCCTCCTGCTCCAATGAGACATACCATCCTCTCAGGGATATATAGTCCCCCAGATTCATCAGTACTGCCTGTGCCTTAGACTTCTCTTGGAAGAAAAATGAACTTGAAGTTGTTAGAGAGACAACTCCCCAATATTCCAATGAGTCTCACTTTCTGCTTCAGGGATATTATAGTGCTCCAGGTTTATGACACTATCCTGAAGTCTGGACTTCCCCCAGTTGTAAAACAAACTTGGAATTTCTAGAAAGGTAGTCCTCTTCCCACTGGATCTGCACTGTCCTAATAATTCATGGTAACTGAAAACAATCATTTGCTCTCCCATGTCATGTCTCAGTCCCTTGGCTCAGGCCTATCTAGGTGCAGGGCTACAGGCATAATCTTTATCTTCTGACAAGGCTGGCACTGCCCAGGAACTCCCTCTTTTCTCTCTGGAAGGCTATGGGTTAGTAATACACACCATTTGGCCAAGTAGTTTCCATCTCTTGGGGCTACTTTGTTGAAAACATATGCAACTGTGATGTTCTCTTCCACTATCTCTCTAGGACTGTGTTAGGAGCTATCACTAGGTCACCATTTCCCTACCTGCTGTCATTTCCTGTAATTATTAAGTTAAGAGACTGTCATCTCTGAAGCTGGGGGAGGGGCTTCAGTAAATCAGTCCCCCAGAGGCTTTACCAGAATACAAACACCTCCACTGGGACAAAGTTGGTTCTCAAATCTCTAATACATTCAGTTTTCTCTGAACCTCTCCAAAAAGGAAAAAGATCCAGAAGTCAAACTTTACAATAAGAACTCCTTATACAGGCCCATCACAGAGGGATGGCTATAACCCACAATAGTGTGAAGTGGCCAATTCATCTCTAATCATTGATCACTCATCACTTCTGAGTTATGAATGAGCCTATGGGTATATCCATACGTTTCATAGGAAGAGGTAATCAAAGCCCCAAATAAAGGGTCATCTCTCAGTAAGCTGATCAAGTTGATCAAGAGATATCCCTGAATAGCTCCTAACACTCACAATTTAATTCAATTCAACAAGCCTTTAATAAATACTATTGGTGCAAAGGACTATGACAAAAGTTAAAAATAGCCCCTGCCCTCAAGGAACTTACAGTCTATAGATAGGAAGAAGCTTCCTGTTTTCTGCTTTGTGTTGCTGAGGCAGTCATTCATATTCCTTAAAGAATACACTTTTCTCCATGTATGTTGTCATTCTCTTGTTAAAAGGGTTAAATGTGAAACCCACTTTATTATAGATTCTTCTGTATCAGGAAATTACCACTAATCACTCTGGAGAACTGAAATTTAAGAGAGGTTTGCTAATAGATATGAAAATTTCCCACTTCTAAGTGTGTACTTAATGCATATTTGGTTAAAACAGTTAAACAGGAATTCAACAAGCTTGGGAACCATTGTGCCATCTTACGAAACATGAAGGGCAGAGTTCTTGTAATAGTCAAAGGAGGGAAAATGGCTGTATTTGAGGAAATGTCTGATTCAGAGATTACAGGTATGTTTTGGTTTTTTATTTGTGTGTTTGTATGTTTGTTTTTGGTTTTGTTTGGAACCACCATTATAGAAATCCGAGAATTATAGGACTGGAAAAGATCTTAGAGATGTTTTTTTCTCACTTTCTGGAGGAGAAAAATCCTTCCTTGAAAAACAGGGTCATAAGAGTAAGCTATCACCCAAGGTCAAAGAACATATTAAGTGGGACTTAAAAGCCTAGATATCTATCCTGACTCTTGGATAAGTGATCTCTCCACCATACATACCACTGCTGCCTTTTTCCCTCTGTTCCATGTTGTCAATGACCTCTCCAGGCCTTGCTAACCTCAAACCTAAAAAGAAGGGAGAGGAATAGGTCCAGCTCAACTTCATTAATAATACACCACAAAGGGCATCTATTTCTCTGTTTGTTGATGTGGATTTTGATTACTGAGCACACTGCAGGGGCCTTCATTTGAGAATCCAGAGCTGGCACATACAGATCAGTCCTTACATGTTGTAGAGAATAAAGAGTGTAATCTGATCCCACAGAATGCTGTTAGTATGAACTCCCATTGGCTAAATAGAACCCTTTGCAATCATTAAATGAATTATGTCAAAGTATATTAAAATAGGAAGGAATCTTAATATTTATCTAGTCTGATTTATAGCTTTCTACCTAATGCAGAAAGCCCTTCAATAAATGTTCCTTAGTGATGGTCATCCAACCTCTACTTGAACCTCCAATAACGCACTCCTTCACAATGCAACTCATTCCATTTCCAAACAGCTCTAATTATTAGTAAGCTCTACCTCATGCAGCATCAAAAGCTGACCCTCCAGAACAGTATTCCAGAGTCTCTTCTTGAGTGCCAAACAGAATAGGCTTAATTCTTTTTCCACATGACAAGCCCTTTGGATACTTGAAAATCACTGTCATGCCCTACTCCTTCCTCTTCTCTTCTCCTGGTTAAATGTACCCTGTTCCTTCAAACATTCTCCAATGTCCTGGTCTCCAGACTCCCCACCTCCCACCATCCATATGATACTCCTCTAGAAGAAATCTATCTTGTTAATGTCTTTCCTAAAAGCTTTACCCAGAGTTCAATACAGTATTCTAGATACGACTCAAACAAAATGAAGGGGGGATTTATTACCATACCTACCTTAATCTACACACAGTAACTCTATTGAAAGTGGCCTAAGATTGCATTGACTTCTTTGACAATCTCCATATTAAACCTCCAGTCAACTGAAACCTCTAGTCTTTTTTTATATGAACTGCAAGCCTGTTCTCCCCAATTCTGTATTTGTGCCATTGCATTTTTTTTTAACCTAAATGAGAGACTTTACATTTAGCCCCATTGATTTGGGTCCATTGTTCCAGCCTATTGAAACTTTTTTTTATCTTAATTCTGTCATTCAAGATAATAACTACCCCTTCAAACTTTGAGTCATCGTTGGACATTATTATTATGTCTTTATCAAAGTCATTGATTCATAGATTTAACATAAAAATATGGCCAAAGATAGGGCATACTACTAAACCTGTGTCTTTAGTTGAATCCTGACTGATCTATTAGTCAATAGAGTACAGTAGTTAATCAATTACAAAGCTAACTAGCTGTGCTACCATTCAGCCCACCTTAATCTTATCCACAAAAATATAGAGACTTATCAAATGATGTGCTGAAATATATACACATATATGCATACATACAAAATTCTTCTGGTATATTAATCTTAAAACTCTAGCAAAAAATGGAGAGAGGGCTGGCCTTGCAGTGAGGAAGATCCTGGATTCTTGTCCCAATCCTTCCAAATAGAGGCTGTGAAACCCTGGGAAAGTCACTTAACCTCTCAATGCTCTAGGCAGCTCCCTAAGACTATAAGTTGTAAAGAAGGTGCCAACTTGCACTGATGTCACCAAGATCACTCACCCCTCAGCCAGGAATTCCCTATCCCAAAAAACTCACAAGATCAGGTCCTCTGGTAATCTCAGCAAAAAATAAATAAATAAATCGATCAATCAATATAATTGGTAATGACTTCTAAGTGGATCTCTAGTTCCTAGATAGCACTGGGCTGAAAAAGCCTTCCAATCCATTAAAGGATTTTACTGGGGATAGATGCTAAGCTTTCTAGACTGTTGTTTCCAGGATGTACCTTTATCTCAAATCTGTTACCTTATTTCAATAAGCCACACAAAAATCAATATTTTCATAGTCCCTTCTGTGACTATCCCTTAAAGACTATTCTTAAAAGCTAAAGAGCTGCAAAAGATTCTTCTGAATAGAACTTTAATTTATAAATGTTTATCTTCAGCCAATGCACCTCGGACTCAATTTATAATACAACATTATAAAGAGACCCTCCCCAAAGGGTTAGCTGTAGCCATCTCTGTAAAGACTGAAAAAAAGACATATACATTATCCTGCAAGGACAAAAAACTTCATTTTAAGGTAAGAATGAGCCCATTTGTTCTTAGTTTCATGTCTAGGAAAAAAATAACTTGTTTCAAAGTCCAAATCCAGTCCCCAGAGGAAGAAGAACAAAGGCAGAGAACCGTAAGAACAGTGGGTCGTCCACACCTGCCGAACTCAACGAACAGCATCAGCTGTATGCTGTGAGCATAGCCGGGTCTCGGCCCAGCACCTGTTGAAAAATCCACACCATCCAGACAATTAGCTAACACATATATCATGGAATAGAATCTCTAGAGCTGGAAAGGACCCTAGGGGTCATCTAATCTAGCATCCCCACTCCCCAGTTTGTTTTACAGAGGAAGAAACTGAGGCCCAGGATGGAGTGAAATAACTTTCCCAAGTTAGAAAATAGAATTTGAACCCAGGTCTTCCAACTCCACATCTAGAGTTTTGGTCATTTGCACCACTGCCAGGGCAACTAGCAACACAAGCGTAGGTCAGTTCACAAAGCCCCCAGCAATGTGTCATTCCTGGATAGATCTCAAATATTTGCCTCACAGCGATGGTAGTTAGTACCCACATCCATAAAGGAGACATATATCTTTCTCACTCAGGAAATTCATAAGCGTAGACCATGACCCTTTCAAGAATGAATGTCCATGCAGTCAATTCTCCATTATTCACACATCCATTTTGTGCTCCAAATATCAATCAACCTATCAGCATTTATTAAGCACCAACTATGTACTAGACACAACGTTAATCACTGGAGATACAAAAACAAAAGTGAAAAAATGTTTGCCCTATATTTATATATCATATATACAGTATAAGTATATAAAAAAATAGATACAAAGCGTAGGGTTGGGAGAGAGGTACTTGCAACTGAGAAGATAAGCAAAGAAGTTGACATTTGGGCTAAGCCATAAAAGAGACTACAGATTCTAAGAAAAGATTTGAGGGAGGCAAAGAGACTGGGGGAGTGCATTCCATGCATGGGATATCTCCCAAATACCAGAGCAAAGACATTGTTATTGCCCTCAGTTAAAGAGAGTTAACAAAGCAAATCTGCTCAAGTGGAAAAAATCACTTAAAGTATCTCAGAGTCAAATAGAAAAGTTTTTTGGTTTTTGGTTTTTTTTTTCCCCAATGACCCCTGTTTAAGGCTATGAAATCCACTTGGAATGAGCCTCACTAATGGTTTCTTCCAGTTCTAACATTCTATATGGCAAATAAAGCTGTGTGGGATTCTCCCTCCCCACTCAACATTTTGATCCAGACCAAATTAGGCTAAAGTGAACACCAAGGCCAAGATCAAAGGGAGAAAGAAAAGCAATAGCTGATTTTTGTGTAGGCCTTACGGCTTGCAAAGTATTTTACCTCCTTTGGTTCTCTGGAAAGTTCTGTGAGGTAGGGAACGCAAGAAAACACAGAACCTGACTTTTTAGAGCTAGAACAGACCTTAGGACTCATCTAGTCTAACTCCCCATTTTACAGATGAAGAAAATAAAGCCAAGAGGTTTAATGATTTCCCTAAAGTCACACAGATATGAAATGGGAGACTAGACCTGTTCTTCTTCTTGAGTCATTTCAGTCATGTATGACTCTTCATGACCCCATTTGGGGTTTTCTTGGCAAAGATACTAGAGTAGTTTACCATTCCCTTCTCCAGCTCATTTTACAGATGATGAAAATAAGGGAAACAGGGTAAAGTGATTTGCCCAGGGTCACACAGCTAGCAAGTGTCTAAGGCTGCATTTGAACTCAGGTCTTCCTGACTTCAGGGCCTAAGCACTATCTACTGTGCCACCTGGCTGCTCCTGGGCTCTCCTCAAATCCAGACCAGTCTAGCTTGTGCTCATACTATTGCATTTCACAAAAGAGCAGCTTAAGGGAGGTGCTTGGAAAAAGAGGGAGAGATGTCTTTGTACTGATAGGAAGATCTGTATATTGATTTTATGTGTGCATGGTACTACAAAGTAAGGAAATTGATTTCAACAAGTCAGGCAAAATTTCAATCTTTTTTACGTTGTGAGTACCAGGTAAAGACCTCCAACTTAGAGGCAGAGTCAGGCTGGCTGTTTGCAATTACTGCTTTCCTTTCTAGATGCTCATCAACTATCTTTTTAATGATCTGGTCTAGAATTTTCCTGGAATTGAAAGATTTGAGTTGGGGGGAGGGAAGAAGGGAGGAATTACTATTCAGTGGAGAGGGTGTGTGTGGGTGTGTGTGTCTGTGTCTGTGTGTGTGTGTGTGTGTGGTGTGTTTGTGTGTGTGTGATGGGTGTGTGGGTATGGTGTGTGTGATGTGTCGTATGTGTGGTATATGTGGGTGGGTGGGTGTGTACCCACACAAGAGTGCACAGGCACACTTGTGCATAATGAGAAGAGTGCTAAGCCTGAAATGCTCAACATAACAATCAAGGAATAGGAAAGGCGAGTGGCTAGCCCAGACAGAGTGCTGCCTCCAAGGTCAAGACCATATTAATTTTTTAAACATTAAGAAATGTTACAGAATCTCCCAGAGTGTTTAGGAGTGATATAAATTCTCATCTCACCTGGTCAATTAGTAACATGGGAGCACATGACCAGAGGTGATCGGACAGTGAGCATCACTAGACCATAAAAACTATACCTGGGGTGGGGGCTAGGGAGCAGTGGGGGCTACTTGGATCATCTTCCAGTCCCTACTGATGGAGGAGCATAATCTGAAGAGACTATTGCCCTCCTGGAGTGCTATCTGCCTGGCAGCAGATGAAGTCTCATCTAGGTGGGAGAGGAGAGACAGGGAATGTCCCAAAAGTATAATAAGGGGCATGAATGCACAGAGGTTGGAGTTACATGACATCATGGAGGTAACCCACATACATACTTTCCTCCCCATATTCTAACAGAAGTCTCTGGTTCAGTGTGGTATCTATGCAAGGATTTTCTTTCCTCAGACTCTCTATGCCCCATCATAATAACATCTGAAATGTTTTCTTTTCTTTTTTCTTTTTCCTCCTCTATAGGAAAGTGCTGCCCCAGACAAAATTGATGGCAAAGAACAGGATGTCTTATTCTACCAAGAGAGAATTCCGGGTCATGATGACAAGATGCAATTTAAATCTTTTTTGTACCCAGAATACTACCTGGCATGTAAGCAGGAAAAGAAGTCCATTTTTAAACTGATTTTAAAGAAAGGGTGCCAAGATGAGGAAGGATCTACAAAATTCGTTGTCCGTTATGAATGTAAGAAAATAGGCTCATAGAAAGATAGTTTTAAATCCTGGAAAATATCTTAAGGATAACAGCACTACATTGGGGTCTTAAACTGCGAAAAAACTAAGTAAAAATATACTCATGGAGGGATTATTTAATCAACACTTGTGGGGAAGTTGGGTATAGAAAAACTATATTTAGGTCTCTAAGTTAAAACAACTACAAGTTAGATTTAATTTAAAATAATAGTAGCAATAGCGACAGAGGGTAGCTTTCAATTTGTGATTCTCTCATATATAATATTATTGTAAAATATAAATATAAAAAATAGAATTGTTGCTTATAAATCCAATGTATACAATAATGCAAGTCTGAATTACAACTGAGGCAGTAAATTATCCTGAGTGCAATGTTCCACATGGAGGGATGTAGCGAGTTACCGAGATCGACTGAAGCAGATTCTTTGCTACGCAATGCCTAAGAGCTTACTAATCAGAGCTTCTATCAACAACAATGACATTTAGAATATTTTTATTTGATTCATGGATATTCATGGCCAAAGAAAGCACTGTCTTCTGGCTAACATTCTTAAAATGAGCTTCTCCATATTTAGCTAGGCTAGTTTTCAGAAGGTAGCTGCATACTGTCTCCAGGACTATTTAAAGTCTTTCTACCCTGGTAGAATATGCCAGAGTTTATGCCAGGCTGGCACTGCCTTTGAAAACCCATTATCACCTCTACACAACACTAAGGTATCAGAGCAGAAAGAGAAATACATGGAGACAGAGATTATTGAAATAAAGATATAGAGACAGAGTAGAGATAGAAATAGAAACAGAGATATACAACTTCATGGTTTACAAAAAGCAATCACTTCACAACAACTCTATGAGTCAGGTAGCATAAAGTCTTGTCTTATTATTATTATTACTCAAAAAAAGGGAAAACGAGGCCTTAGAAAGGTTAAGGAACTTGCCAGTGATCACACAGCTAATTAAGTATCAGAGCTGAGACTTAAAATCAGGGCATCTGACAACAATCCCCATGTTCTTTCCACTCTAACATCTTGCTTCTCACAAAGCATCAAATTCCAGCATATGCTTCAGTATGCACTTTAACTCCCCCAATGGATGGTGAGCCAAAATCAGTTCCATAACAATTGCACACATGCCTTCCTTTTTGATCTGCCTAGCAATGACAAAAGCATCGAGGGACTATCTTTTGGGGGACTTCCTGAAGCATTCCATCCAAGGCACAGCTGAAGCCTCGCAAACCTTGAGAACATACCTCGGGTCCCTGCCAATTTCATGACTAGAACAGCTTTACCCCTCTCTCACCGCCATCACTATTCTGGCTTCAATCCCTGATCAGTCCTTAATTTCCTGTTCCAATCCCATCCTCTAGTTCATATTTGTGAACCAAACTCCAAACTAACTGATTTAAGTTGATATTTTATTTGGAAGGGAAGGGTAAAGTTATGTAATAGAACAGCATATGGTAGGCACTAACAAAATTACCTTTCCAAGGATAGGCTCTCTCACATTTCATTGTGAATTGCTCGGTTGCTCTCCAAAAAAGATTTCTCGCTATATTTAGTTTCCCTGGATATGTCAGTCTAATCAGATGCTCCATGGCATCAGGAATGCCCTAATATCTGGCCTGAAGTTCACATTTTCTTATGGCCAACCCCAGATGGTATCTGTCCTTTTCAGGACCCAATGCACTGGACTGGGCTCTGGTCGGCTTCTGAGTCCCTGGTTTAGGTCATAGCTAAATTTATAACCAATGACCCTTCCCTTTGTTCAATTAGGAAATCACTCCAATGGTGATAATTTGGTCTGGTCACTCCTCTTCCAACACTATAATAAATTACAAGGGAACTGAAATGACATTTTCATAAAAGTCTAAAAGAAATGTAGTGATGTACTTTTTTTTCCGCTGTGAAAGGTAGATAAAATCTTTACAAGTGAAGCATCAGAAATGAGCAGAGATAAGGTTGATTATAGATCAAGTATATAAAGTTCAATTATTTAAAAATTAAAAACTTTCATGGCACAAGAAGTAATAAAACTAAGATAAAAATAAAATATCCATGATAAATATGATGAATAAATGTTGGGTTCCACATTTTATAGGTAATACAATATAAGCCTATGACGGTAGCACCCGGTCTCCAATGGACAGAAATAGTCAAAGAATTTTAAAAAACAATTCACCAAAGAGGGAAAATAAATAATAAATTGAGAAAATGATCAAATGTTAAAACAAATGCAAATTAAAAGTTAAGAAATTAGTTAATTTTCACATTAAACTAACAAACAGAGAAGAGAAAGAGAGAGGAGAAAGGGGGAGAGGAAGAGAGTGGAGAGAGAAAGAATATATAAAGTCCATTATTGGCAGAGAGTGGGGAAGCAGGTACACTCAAATGCTGCCGGTGGCAATGCACATAAGGGCAATCTTTTTGGAGAGCTATCAGTCAATTTACAATAAGAGTCAACAGTCTGATCATACCTTTTGATCTTATCCATTACTAGGAATGTATTACAGGGAAAATATTCAAAATACAAGACAACATGCTTATGCAGAGATTTCTTAGTACACTATATTTACATTACCTAAAAAAATTATCTAGATGTCCAAAGTTTGGGGAATAACAGGGCAGGCTGGAATATATTGATGAAATTGAGCATCATATTGGCATTAAGGAGAACAAACATGAAGTATATACAGAAATAGAGAAAAGTCTATGTAAAATCATACAAAATGAAAGAACTCAAAATGAAGTGTATATATTTGCTTACAGCTATGTGTAATTGTGATTAAAAGGACCAGAAGTTACAAGTGCTGAGCTTTGGTGTTGTTGTTGTTCTGATGTTTATGTTTTATTTTTACTAAAAATTTGATTTACTATTCAATCAACAAAAATCTTTCCCCACACACACCCCCCAAATCAGTAAATTCTTTTGAAAATTAACACAGAATGAACAGATGAAAGGATATGCAGACAAAAGAAATGAAATTGAGCAGAGATTTCTCATCATTTGACAATAAAGACTGGAGCATTGTCTCCAGAAGGTTAGTGTTAAAATCCACTTATGCTACCTAGAAGAGACCTTTAACCTCTTTTTTGTTAGACTTCGGAAATAAATATTTTTCAGTATATTTAGTTATCCCTTATGAGGACAAACAGAACCCCACTCTAAAGGAATGGATAGGATACAGGACAAATACAATTAAAAAAAACTAGATGGCAATCCAGCAATTCAGGAAATATAAAACAAACAAAAAAATTAACACCCTGAACAATCAAACTGGATAATATTTTCATGATTGTTGTTAACAACACAGCTCTTGGGATTATAAAGCTTGGGGATGGGAGGGTTGAGTGGGGAGGGATTGATCCCAGATGGCTTTTCCATCACTGTTGCTGATTGAAGGTAAGACCTTCAGAAGAAAAAAGCAGAAACTGGGAAATGAGCAGCTGGTGGTATAAGAGATGGTATATGAGAAAAAGATTTTGATGCGGGGCCAGGACTTAAGATATGAGTGACAGGTCCTTGACCAGGGATGTATTGCAAGTACTGGAAAGAATATATTGGTCTGGAGGCTTACAGATCTGATCAAGAGGGGTTTGAAGTGAAAAGAGAAAAATAGGGAAGAAATTAACATTAACTAAGTCAGATACTACAGCACAAATTAGGCATAATATAGGAAGGAAAAGGTTATACAGAGGCCAAGTAATTGACAAGAAACAGTATTCAAGAAGGAGGGGCTAATAATAATTCTTATGGAGTCAGCTATCTAAGCAGAAATACTAAGAACAAAAAAAGGTAGTAAATAATGTATTCTAGAGATCTTAATGTAAGAAGGCAAAATTGAATTTGTAGGAGGAGAAAACTTAATGGGATGTGATTCATGATCAGAAAAGGCATATGGAAAGGTATAATTTGTATGAAAGAAACAGATTAGGTTGGGAAGGGGGTAGTGGTAAACTCATCGTATACTAAGAAAATATATTCCTGAAATGCTATCCACATCCAAAGAAAGAACTATGGAGTTGGAATGCACATCGAAGCATACTATTTGCTATTTTTTTTTTGAGTTTTATTTCCTCTTTCTGATGGTTCCTCCTATTGGTTCTAATTCTTACTTACAACATCACTAATGTGAAAATATGTTTAATAGGAATGTATATGTATAGCCTATATCAGATTGTGCGCCATCTTGAGGAGGGTGGTAGGGAGGGAGGCGGAGAAAAATTTTAAACTCAAAAGCATATGGAAGTGATTGTTGATAAATTAAAATAAATTAATTTTTAAAAAAAGAAAGAAAATATATTCCTGTAGGGAACTCTACAGACCAGAAGGAAGAAGTATCATGGACAGTATTTGGTGAGAACCAATAGAAGTTCACCAAAGCAATATTGTTGGTAGGAGGACACTACAGACCAGGTCAGAATTAAGGAATTGAATGAGAACACAAAGCTGACATGAAGCCATATGTTAGTGATAGGGGACTTAGATTCTCCAGATAACTTCTGGAATTCTGTTTTCTAAAAGCAACGTTACTGACAAATTCTCAACTTTTCCTAATGATTTAATTTTTCAAAAGTTAGAAGAAGCAGTGAGGTAAGTATTATTCTAGACTTGAGTTTTACCAATAGGAAGGAACTGGTTCATGAAGTAGAAATAAGAGGAATCTTGGGTAGAAACGTCTACTCTCTCTTGGAATTCATGTGCAACACTCACTTGGGGTATTGGTATTTGGTTTGATCTCACTGGTGCATTCACGTTATGGGGGGGGGCGGAATTCCAGTCAAGGGGTTTGAATAACTCAGAATGCAATATCTGACTTAGTCAGCAGATGGCACTCTACTGTTCCTCTCTGCCTGCCACACAAGCACAAAAACCTTATATCAGAAGGGGAAAAAAAGGGGGGGGGGGGGGGAGGTGGGCAGAGGGGGATGTAGAATAACGGTATAAGCATTTATATACCACCTTCTATATGTTAGGCACTGTGCTAAGTGTTTTACAAATGTTATCTCATTTTATTTTATTTATTCCCAGTCCATAAGATCCTTCCTGGATATTATATTATTTTGAAAGATCATTCAAAATCCTCAAATACCCTAGTTGCTGCCCTAAAATGGTACAGATTTCACATTCGGGCTTAAAAATCAGCTTCTCCTTTCTGAAATGCTACTGATTTCCAAGATATAATCTAGGAGATAAATTAAAGTATTAAAATATGGATATTAATTGTTTGGTTTTAATCTTTTTTTGTTTTTGGTTTTGGTCTTCGTTTTTGTTTTGTGGTGTTTTTTTTTCTCAAGAAAACTCATTTATCCAAATCAGTAGCAAACAGAAATGAGAGAAGGTATACATTGGAGAATATATATACTAGACAACACAGAGTAAAGGAGTTCTCTCATTGGGAGCCAAGTAACAGCTCAACAGAGAGTGTTCCAGATCTTATCCCCACAGCAGTCCCCCAAAGCCTCCGAGGTAGCAAACTGCGAATGGGGATGATGGGGTGCTTGGGTGCTTGTGCTTGTACTTGGACCCCAATTTCTCCCTAGTCTCAGAAACACTGTCTCTGACAATCACTCCCCAGCCCAAGGACACTGGGCCTAGCAATCACTCGTGCATGGGCCCCAGCACGACCCTTATCTTTCTCCCTGGTGCAGCTACACAAAGCTAGGTGAGAGAGTGCTGGGCTGCTCAGGCCCCAGCCCTAAGATCATGTCTCTGGAAGCCTCCCAATTCCTTAGTAAGTTCCTGTCTTGTGAGAAAGCTTTCCCTTGTTGCAGAGTGTTCTCTCATCAAGACAGAAGGAGAGGGGTGCCTTGCCCAGCCCAAGGAGTTATGTCCTTGGCTGGCCCAAGGACTCTTCCTCCTGCCAGACTCCCAAGATCCATACTTCTGTCATCTCCTTCCCTGTCCGGTATACTCCCTGTACCTTCTCATCCATAGCTCCCAAAGACACCTGCACCTTTGGATTACCTCATTAGTGTCCCTGGCATTCCTTTCCCATGCCCTTTTCCATATAAACCCTAGCTCCATCCTCAGTCTCTTGCAGATTCCTTAAGAATCCTTGCCCACTGAAAAGCGTAACAATAAATCTTTGCCACCTTGGCTTAAAGAATGCTTGAGTCTGTGAATTCATTCCACATGACCCCGTCCAGTACTCCAGTCTTTGAGGGGTCTCAACCTCTCAGACCACAACAGGGACATGATGGAGATTGCCAGCTCCTCTCATGTTGACTTTTTCCCAGAGTCTTTTCCTTGAACAACCTGAAGTGGGTATGGCCTCATCCATTTTTCTTCTCAAAGCTGGAAGCCAGAAGTGCCCAAGGTGGCTTGAAGCCTCAATAGAACTTGAAGAAGTCTGAAGAGATGTCCTTTCTCACACTCACCAACTCCACCCCACCCCTGTCACGGGGAATGGCTGCCAGCCCAGGTGTAGACCCACAAGTCGACAATGATCCTAATGGTCAGTCCATACCAATTTAGACTAGCTGGAGTATAGAAACAGAACAATCAGTCAGTGACAAGAGAACTAAGCCTACTAAAAACCAGGCACTTAGCTAAGTTATGATGTTACAAGTTAAAATGGTATGAAGTTAGGGGCAGCTAGGTGGCACAATGAATAGTGCACCAGCCCTGAAGTCAGGAGGACCTGAGTTCAAATCCAGCTCAGACCAGACACTTGACACTAGCTGTGTAACGATGAGCAAGTCACTTAACCCCAATTGCCTAGCAAAAAAAAAAAAAAAGATGTTATGGTGTCGCATATATGCTGTACATGTGAATTTGCAGATTTGAGTGTGTTAGTTTTTATTTTGCTATTATGCTCATTTGACTGTTTTATGTTGCATTCATGCTATAGTAATGTCTGTTAAAATATTAATATATTAAATTATTAATTAAATTTAAATTAAATTTTAAAAGTTAAAATATTAATATATTAAGATAATTAAAATTTAGATCTGCTCCTACCCCAGACATAGTTCCCTCTCTTTGTACCGTCCCTCTGTACCCATATTGATTTAGTTACCCAGCATGTAATACTTCAGCTTTATTGTACATAGAATAAAACAAAAGGAAAAGAGGCAGGGTCTCCTCCCCCTCCCCCACAATGTGAATGCACCAGTGAGATCAAACCAAATACCAATACCCGAAGTGAATGTTGTACATGAATTCCAAGAGAGAATAGACTTTTCTACCCAAGATTCCTCTTATTTCTACTTCATGAACCAGTTCCTTCCTATTGGTAAAACTCAAGTCTAGAATATTTACCTCACTGCTTCTTCTAACTTTTGAAAAATTAAATCATTAAGAAAAGTTGAGAATTTGTCAGTAATGTTGCTTTTAGAAAACAGAATTCTAGAAGTCATTGCTAACTAGCTAACACTTCATTCTCTCCTGGTTCTGAGATTCTGTGATTCTATGATAGGAAAGAGAAAGCAGGGAATATAGAGGGTGGGGTGTAGGGCAGATAGTAAAGCCCACAGATGGGGTAAGTAGGGTAGGCTCAGGGATGGAAAAAAGTCCAACAGCAGAAGAGGATATAGCTGGACCTTAGGAGTATGAAAGCTCCTAAATTCCAAGAAGCTCCCAGTTCTTTCTGGTACCTTGTCTTCTCTAGAAATATATACACATAAAAAACACTCACACACAAACACATTCTCCCAATACTGATTCACAATTAATAGCTAACATTTGTAGAGTGCTTTAAGGTTTGAAAAGCACTTTACATATATCCTTATTTGACCCTCACAACAATTCTGGGAGGTGGGTGCTAGTATTATCCCCATTTTACAGATAAGAAAACTGAGGCAG